CTTTCCAAGAACAGACAAATATGGCCGAGTAATCACTCAGTAGGCTATGTAGGCTGAATCTTACATTCCCGCGTTTTTAAAAGTCCTGTTCTCTTTAAACACAGTTTTTACTCTTTGCCATTCTAGATGAGATAAATGTTCAAAATTCCAATAATATATCCTGTTGGAAACTGTACGATATACAATTATAATACTCTCTGTATAGAACTCATAAAGTAGTGAGTTTATCTCGTTATAGATTTAAATTTATTCTATAATGTTTACACTATGAGTAACAAAACTGAAGCAAAGGCAAAGGAGCATAAGAAACGGAGTTATATTACTCAAAGTCCCACAAATTTTTCTAAGCTTACAAGCCGCGCAATTAGTCGTACGACGCTTAGTATGGGTGGTATCCATTGATAATATTCATTCATACATATCTTGTTATTTTTCGATGTAAGAAAATTAGGTTTTACTGTTAAGCAATCACTTCCTTTAAAAACCTAAATAGGCAATATTTTTAGGAGGTTCAATAAATAAGGTCAAAAAATGTATGTAAGTAATGTGTAATAACGTTTTGCAGTAGATGGCATTAAATTTCTATTGGGTTTAATAAAATTTCAAATGACTTTCTTACTATTCAATTTAACGCTAGTAGAGTTAGACTGGAACTTTCTATTCAGACATAAAAAAATTTCACGTAAGCACACATTACAATGAAATTGGCTTTAATCTGGAAAATTAGGAATATTATGCGAAATGGGCGTAAAAATGAGCTATATTTGACAGCTTACCTCAAGTTCATGCACATTTTTGGTGTTATGATTTCCTTATTTTAGTATTTTTTTCTCGATTACAATAGTATGGAATGAATTAGTTTTTAGTCTAAAACAGACAGTTGATTATGCCCAATGTAAATACATAACAAATCCTCATCAACACTTAGCGATTATTATAACCATCCATTTAAACACAAAGGTTTCCCCTTATAATTAAAATGTCAAGTGTTAGCCAGACTACACCAGCTTCACAATCAATTGCTTTTATTTCTTTTAAAATTTCTATACAATTTTTTTAAGAATTGTATTCTATTATACTTTAATCTGCAACTTGTGGCTACTCTACAAAACCAGCTCAAAGACCCTCCTCATTCCTTAAAAACCCTTTAGGTATTGAAAGACCTGTTTTAAAAAACATATGACTGCATAACACAATCCTGCCTGTTTAAGCATTTTTAGTCAGCTTTTACAGTGTAAAAGTGCATATTAAATATTCTATTCTATTCGTACAAATCATTCTGAAAAAAATTACTTGTTATTGTTGTCTTATTTATTTTTTCATTCGTCTAGCAAGCTGTCCTTCTGATTGGTTGCATATAGAATCATCTTGTTATTTCTTCAGTGCAAAAGCAGCAACATGGATTGAAGCTAGAAAACTTTGTCAACAGAAGGGAGGAGATCTTGCTGTTCCAAAAAATATTGCTGAGAATAATGCCATTTCCAGAATCATTTTGAGAAAAGGCAGGGATGGTCATTTTATTGGTTTGTATCGCAATAAAAGCGACAATCAGTTCTACACAGTTCAAAATGGCAAGCCCAGTTTCACATTATGGTATCCGAGAGAACCTAATAATCATGGTGGTGTAGAGGACTGTGTTGTAATTTATTGCAACGATTATAAATCAAGTGGAATGACGTTGATGTTGGCGTCACTTTAACTTCATCTGTCAACGTGAGAGACGTAATTTAAACTGTGAGTAGCTTCTATAATTATCAATACATTAGGTACTTTACATAAATGTACTATTTTGTGGTAAAATTGGTGCATTCTTTAGTTATTGTTTTCCTGCCAAAAATGTTAGAACTAGAGAACTCATTCGACCATGTAGCAGATTGTTGAGCACTAAAAGCGAATTCTGAACTTTTATGCAACTAAGAGTGATTCAATCAATGGCCCAAGGTGAAATGTTAATGGCTTGAAGACAAATAATTCTTTTATCGCCAAAAATAGTTTAACATATTCAACTAATATTAATGTGGTACCAAATTTGGCAATCTGAAAAATGCAAGTATATCTTGGTTCATACTAAAGATGTCAATTCAATAAAGAACTGTTATGCAGGAAATGGTCACTTAAATATCAAAAATAATTGAGAGTTATGTTTAGTAATAGTTTGCAGGAGTAAATGTGTCAAAACGGAACCTTAGATGAAGCTTCCCAAACTTATATAAATTCAAAAGACCTGCTTTTAGGCAATAATGAAAATGCCATACCTTCTTAGCCATTCTCCTTTACATAACTTCTTTGTCCGTCACGCCCTACTGCTGAGCACATTAGGTCACAAAACATGAATATTCGCACATATATGAATTTTAACCCCCACCTCCAATCAACGTTCTACTTTTGGCCCTGGTCGTAGCCAACCTGCTTGTATTTAGTCTTGTTTTGTTGGTTTTTCTGTGTTGATTTACTTAGAAAACAATAAACTTTAAAATGAGCAGTGCTTGATGGAACAATGAATAAGGCTTGGTTGAATAACATTTTTTTAAAATTTTACGGTAAGATGCAACGTCTCCAAATATCGCTGCTTTTCATACCAAGATATGCATATCAATGACGACATGCTTGGATCAAGTATGATTTTTCCACTTCTTGTAAAAATTTTTTTCAAAGGATTTAATGCGGGTAAACCCTCAAGCTTGTTTGGTATAGGTGATATGCTTTAATTTCATATAATTTTGTTAGTCGATGCATTTTCTTTTGCAAAGATAATCCAACATCTTGAATTAACAAACTCAAAATTTCCGACACTTGCAACGACAGGATAAGATAATTATTATCCCCCTGTTGTGTGAATTTTTCCAAAGCCAATCTCATTGCTTTAAATGGCTAAGTTTTTTTTCGATTTTTTTTTATTAATGATAAAAATAATTCAAAATAGCAACCGTCGTGGGTACACGTCACACTTCATAATTCATAGTCTTATTAGCTATGTAAGAACTAGGTTTGATTTATATTATAAATGCCGCCTTATCAATCCCACTACCAGATTTAACTTTCTTTATGTGTGGTTCTGCTTGTAGCCCTTGGTGAGCAATTTCTATCGTGTACAGTAAATGATCGTTAATTAATGTATTATGTTGATAGACTCATTCTTCTTGTCAAAAATCAAACGTAGTCTTTATGATTTACAAAAATATTTGTCTAAACGAATCTAGAATGTTGCGTTACAAATAAATTACTAATACCGTTCCCAAAATCACAGATCTTACTACACTCTCATTTGTTATAGAATTTATTTGACGTTTTAGATGTTGATTTGTTCATATCAAATACTTTTATTAAAAATATTAGGACAATTATGTTTTTACATTCTCGTAAAATCAATTCGAAAGTAATAAGTTAAACAAAAAATTTCATATTTATTTATTACACATCTTTAAATTAGACATAAAATTGCTTAATTTATGGTACACATTTTCAAACAACTTTATTGTGAAACATTAGATATCGGCGAATGTCAGTCTTCTCCTTGTGGCAAAGATAACTCATGCATAAATATCCCAGGCTCCTACGAATGCCTATGCTCCACTGGATACAAACTTGACAAATCCAAAAAGAAATGTGTCGGTAAGTTGGTCTTTCTAGATCTTTTAACTTATGTTGCAAGCTTACGTGACTTCATGAAAATTCTTTGAAAACTGCTTGAACTGTTAAAATATGGGAAATGCTTGACAAGGTCTTGTGTTCAATTGCACAAATTACTAGCTAACTCAAGAAGGGCGTCTGTCGAAAGTCCCTGCTGATTAAGTGAATTAAAAGCTAAATAGATAACAATTAGTGGTTTATAATACATTAGAACTGACTTAAGCTTGTTTAAAGTGAGCATTTTATGTGAAACTAACATAAAGTTTGAATTCACTTAATTAGAATTCAATTTGTAAGTAAAGACAATTTGCCATTCTAAATTAGATAAATGTTCAAAATTCCAATAATATATCCTGTTTGAAACTTTACGATATACTATTATAATGCTCTATGCATAGAACTCATTAAGTAGTGAGTTTATCTCGTTCGAAATTTAAATTTATTCCATAATGTTTATACTATGAGTAACAAAACTGAAGCAAAGGCAATGGAGCATAAGAAACGGAAACGTCGTCAAAAGATTGAAATTTTTGGGGGAAAGTTATATTACTTAAAGTCCCACAAATTTTTCTAAGCCTACAGGCCCGCAATTAGTCATCCTCCTCTTAGTATGGGTGGTATGCACTGATAATGTGTTCATTCATACATATCATGTTCATTTTCGATGTAAAAAAATTAGGTTTTAATGTTAAGCATTTTTTATTCAGACATAAAAAAATTTCATGTAAGCACACATTACAATGAGGTTGACTTTAATCTGGAAAATTAGGAATTTTATTTGAAATGGGCGTAAAAAGGAGCTATATTTGACAGCTTACCTCAAGTTCATGCACATTTTTGGTGTTATGAATTCCTTATTTTAGTATTTCTTTCTCGATTACAATATTATGGAATGAATTGGTTTTTAGTCTAAAACAGACAGTTAATTATGCACAATATAAATACATAACAAATCCACATCAACACTTAACGATTATTATAACCATCCATTTAAACACAAAGGTTTCCCCTTAGGATTAAAATGTCAAGTGTTAGGCGAACTACATAAGCTTCAAAATCAATTTCTCTTATTTCTTTAACAATTTGTATACAATTTTTTTTAGAATTGTAATCTATTATACTTTACTCTGCAACTTGTGGCTACTCTACAAAACCAGCTCAAATAGCCTCCTCATTCCTTAAAAACCCTTTAGGTATTGAAAGACCTGTTTTAAACAACATCTGTCTGCAAAACACAATCGTACATGTTTAAGAAGTTTTAATCAGCTATTACAGTTTAAAAGTACATATTAAATATTCTATTCTATTCGTACAAATCATTCTGAAAACAATTACTTATAATTGTTTTCTTATTTATTTTTTTCATTTGTCTAGCAAGCTGTCCTTCTGATTGGTTGCATATAGAATCATCTTGTTATTTCTTCAGTGCAAAAGAAGCAACATGGAATAAAGCAAGAAAACTTTGTCAACAGAAGGGAGGAGATCTTGCTGTTCCAAAAAATATTGCTGAGAATAATGCCATTTCCAGAATGATCTTGAGAAAAGGCAGTGAAGGTCATTTTATTGGTTTGTATCGCAATAAAAGCGACAATCAGTTCTACACAGTTCAAAATGGCAAGCCTAGTTTCACATTATGGTATACGGGAGAACCTAATAATTATCGTGGTGTACAGGACTGCGTTGTAATTTATTCCAACGATTATAAATCCAAGTGGAATGACGTTGTATGTTGGCGTCACTTTAACTTCGTCTGTCAACGTGAGAGACGTAATTTAAACTGTGAGTAGCCTCTATAATTATCAATACATTAGGTACTTTACATAAATGAACTATTTTGTGGTAAAATTGGTGCATTCTTTAGTTATTGTTTTCCTGCGAAAAAATGTTAGAACTAGAGAACTCATTCGACCATGTAGCAGATTGTTGAGCACTAAAAGCGAATTCTGAACTTTTTATGCAACTAAGAGTGATTCAATCAATGGCCCAAGGTGAAATGTTAATAGCTTGAAGACAAATAATTCTTTTATCGCCAAAAATAGTTTAACATATTCAACTAATATTAATGTGGTACCAAATTTGGCAATCTGAAAAAATGCAAGTATATCTTGGTTCATACTAAAAGATGTCAATTCAATAAAGAAATGTTATGCAGGAAATGGTCACTTAAATATCAAAAATAATTGAGAGTTATGTTTAGTAATAGATTTGCACGAGTAAATGTGTCAAAAACGGAGCCTTAGATGAAGCTTCCCCAAACTTATATAAATTCAAAAGACCTGCTTTTAGGCAATAATGAAAAAGCCATACCTTCTTAGCCATTCTCCTTTACATAACTTCTTTCTCCGTCACGCCCTACTGCTGATCACATTAGGTCACAAAACTTGAACATTCGCACATATATGAACTTTAACCCCCACCTCAATCAACGTTCTACTTTTGGCCCTGGTCGTAGCCAACCTGCTTGTATTTAGTCTTGTTTTGTTGTTTTTTCTGTGTTGATTTACTTAGAAAAGAATAAATTTGAGAATGAACAGTGCTTGATGGAACAATGAATAAGGCTTGATTGAAAACATTTTTTTTAATTTTACGGCAAGATGCAAACGTCTCCAAATACCGCTGCTTTTCATATTAAGATATGCATATCAATGATGACATGCTTGAATTATGTTTTGTCCACTTCTGGTGAAAAATTTTTTCAAAGGATTTATTGCGGGTAAACCGTCGAGCTTGTTTGGTATAGATGATACGCTTTCATTTCACATTATTTTGGTAGTCGATGCAATTTCTTTTGTAAAGTTAATCCAGCATCTTGAATTTACAAACTCAAAATTTCCGACACTTGCAACGACAGGATAAGATAATTAATATGTCCCTGTTGTGTGAATTTTTCCAAGGCTAATCTCATTGCTTTAAATGGCTAAGTTGTTTCTCGTTTTTTTTATTAATGATGAAAATAATTCAAAATAGCAACCGTCGTGGGTACACGTCACACTTCATAATTCATAGTCCTATTATCTATGTAAGAACTAGGTTTGATTTATATCATAAATGCCGCCTTAGCAATCCCACTACCAGATTTAAGTTTCGTTATGTGTGGTTTTGATTGTAGCCATTGGTGAGCAATCTTCTATGATGTACAGTAAACGATCGTTAATTAATGTATTATGTTAATAGACTCATTCTTGTTGTCAAAAATCAAAGTAGTCTGTAAGATTTACAAAAATATTTGTCTAAACGAATATAGAAAGTTGTGTTACAAATAAATTACTATTACATACAGTCCCAAAAATCACAGATCTCACTATACTCTCATTTGTTACAGAATTTATTTGACGTTTTAGATGTTGATTTGTTCATATCAAATACAAATATTAAAATTTTAGGACAAATATGCTTTTACATTCTCGTAAAATCAATTAAGAATTATTCAAAACAAATAAATTAAACAAAAAATTTCATATTTATTTATTACACATTTTTAAATTAGACATAAAATTGCTAAATTTATGGTACACTTTTTCAAACAACTTTATTGTGAAACATTAGATATCGGCGAATGTCAGTCTTCTTCTTGTGGCAAAGATCACTCATGCATAAATATACCAGGCTCCTACGAATGCCTATGCTCCACTGGATACAAACTTAACAAATCCAAAAAGAAATGTATCGGTAAGTTGATCTTTCTAGATCTTTTAACTTATGTTGCAAGCTTACGTGACTTCATGAAAATTCTTTGAAAACTGCTTGAACTGTTAAAATATGGGAAATGCTTGACAAGGTCTTGTGTTCAATTGCACAAATTACTAGCTAACTCAAGAAGGGCGTCTCTCGGAAGTCCCTGCTGATTAAGTGAATTAAAAGCTAAATAGATAACAATTAGTGGTTTATAATACATTAGAACTGACTTAAGCTTGTTTAAAGTGAGCATTTTATGTGAAACTAAATAGAGCTGGCATTCACTTAATTAAACTTCAATTTATAAGTAAAGACAGTGGAATTTTGCTTGTATTCTAAAACTTCAGTCGCACTCATAGTCAATGATTGCAACACAGAAATCACGCTTCTACCAACTAATGGTAATTTAATGTGTTCAACAATGGCATGTTTTTTTGCCAAAATATTTCAAATTATAGCTACGCCATGAAAATTTACGAGGGGATTTTGAAACTTTATTCTGTGTGTGTGGTTTGGGGTAAGCCTTTAAAAAACAGGCATTTGTCTTGATGTTTATTTCAAGTTATTACAGCTTTTTTGACTTTTTATTATTATAGATGCCAACGAATGCGAGTCTCTTCCTTGTAAATCGTGTTACATATGCCATAAATTCCCAGGCATAAAACTCTGCATCACATTTGCAAGGAATTATTGTTGGAGGTTTTGTAAGTTTCTATAAATGCTCTATGACAAATGTTTTACTATCAAAACCTATAAGAGAGATTCATGCAAAATATAGACAAAAGACCGGAGCAAAGAATTTAACTAGTCTTTCTAAGGTAGATGGCTACATTTTATCGGCAAATGAAGCATGGTGAAGTTCTAAAGTTCATCGTAAAAATTTTTCTTTGAATTTTTTTTCAAGGTCGTAGGAGGAGCTATTGCGTACTTTGGTTGCAAAGGTTATACAAAGGTGAATTTAAATTTTTTCTTACGATGTTCATGTATGAAATTAAGAACCTCATAAAATTTTTACTAAATTTCACGAATACATTTCAATTCGTTTTTTCATTTATGAAAACGAAGCGATATTTTTTGATTTCCCGCCATCTGATTGGCTGCAGCAGCGGGCATCTTTTTACGATACCTAAATTATGATCCAAAATTGATATTTTTAGAATTAAGTTGGTTACAAAGTGAAATTTAAATTTCTAAAATTGATTTAAAAGCGATGTAAATTGTTCAGCGATAAAGCACAGTGTATTCAGATGAAAGTCATCATAGAAAGACTAAATTTTAGTGTCCTGAAGAAGTAAAATTTACAGAAAAAAAATCCAATTTTCTTTTCAATATCAAGCCGTGTCGACTATTTTACAACGCAAATTTCTTTATCATAAAAATAAAAAAAATATGTTTTTTACCGTTTAGGTCGGTCTTTACGGAAAAAATATTTTCACAAGCTCTTAAAGGTTCCGGTAAATAATTTACATTTATTTTTATTTAGCGGTCCAAAGCGATATTTTTTTGATTTCCAGCAATTTGATTGGCTGCGTGAGCGGATAGCTTTTTACGCATAACTGCCCGTGGGCACAAATGATATTTTTTGCAATGTTTTAGCTTGCGAATTGAAATGTAAATTTTTAAATACGATTTAAAAGCGATGTAAATTGTTGAACGAGTAGGCAGACTGTTTTAAGATGATATTTATCATAGCCAGAGTAAATTTTACTGTCCAGACGAAGCAAAGTTTGTAGAAAATCGAATTTTAGTCTCAACATATTTTTTCGAAATATATTTGTTTAAGAAGTGAAATGCAAATTTTATAAAATTGATATGAAAGCGATATAAATTGTTTAACGAGTAAGCAAGGTGTATTCAGATGAAAGATGTCGTTGCAAGAGTCCATTTTACTGTGCAGACAAAGCGAAGTTTGCTGAAAAGCATCGAATTATAGTCTCAACATTAAGTTGCAGACCTTGTGAAAATGTTTTTTCCGTATGCGGACCTCCCAGCCGGTAAATACGTATTATACAGGGGCGGATCCATATGGGGTATCCAATGTGGCACTGGAAACGGTCAGAATTCGACCAAAAATCGTTGATATTTAGACATAAGACATAAATTTTCTTAGTTCATTCAGTTTATTGAGTCTATTTTTTAACCAAAAACACTAAAAAAAAAACACATGAAATGCACTTGTTGACGTACTCGAAATTCGCATTTAAGCGACAGATTTTATAAACCATCATATTATTACGCCGTTTGGTTTTGCCTAATGTAATCCGATTATCTTACAAAACGTAACTCGATTGCTGTTCGGAGTCCAGTTTTGCTGTTACAGTAGTATACCGAGCGTTGCAGCTGGCGGACTTTACCTTGAAAAAGCGTCATTTATAGCGCACCTCACAGTTTGAGAAGGAGTATACACAAATCTTAGCGCCCCAGCCCTAGCTCCTTTACGTATTTCTTGTAATTATGCTAGCATAATTACAGCGAAGGTTAAACCCAGGACAACGGCAGGAGCCAAAGACGGCCGGCCCACCCCCCGCGTCCGCGCAGCCGGCCGTCGGGGTCTAATATTTAGAGAGATATACTCTCATAGAGTAATCCAAACGTCGACAGCCATGAGTCAGGGCAAGAACAAGTGTGCGTGTTTTCTACCCGGAAAGGTCACCACATGTGGGCGAAGGTCCATAGGTGAATACTGTGGACTTCATATGAAGCGATTAAGGGAAGGCGGGCGACTTCCACAATTATGTCGTAAGTGTGGCGTCGGAGCACAGGCAGAAACTATCCTTTGTGAAGCCTGCGGTGCCGATAGGGTGCATCATAAGCTCGTTTATAAACAGAAACAAGCCAGAAAGAGATTTGCTAGAGTACACTCCGAATTAATTTCGATTTAGAGAATTATCTCGCGTAAGATATAGCGCTAAAATTTGCGACACTCGAGACGAATACTGTCAAGAAACTTCTGCAACTATATGACCAAGGTGTAATCAGCGGACGCGCGCTGAACGCCTCTATTAAGGCTCTTCAACCGCCCGCTGACCCGACACCCACGCCAAGAAATGTCACTCCGCGAATCCGCGAAAGCGCATGCCTATCCCAAAACCACCCAAACGCCGGCCTATCCCCAAACCACGCAAGCGCAGGCCCGCCGAGCCTACTAATGATGAGATGAATGCATACATCAATGAGCTTTTGGCTGAATTTAAACCACGACGCCCCAAAAGGGCTACTCCCCCAACACCTACGGAACTTTAGTGGGATGAAACGAAGGCCTTCAACTATTATCTGAGAGCCTGGAAAATGCAGGTGCCGAAGGGCCACCCCTCTGAACGCAACTTGATGGCTATCCTCAATAACGCCCAACCCTGCATCAAACGCAAACTCGTCGAGGAGCTACTAGCTCTACGAAGAGTTAAGTTCCAGTTGGCTGTAGAGGTTGAGCTTCGGAAGGATGAAGCAAATGGCACTGAAGTGCTTCAAGCACCAGTGCTCCGAGCAAAGCAGATCATGCTGCTACAGGCGCATGAGATTCCGCAAGCCCTACATAAAGCCTTCCCAACAATCTTGTTGAGATTGGAAAAGTTCACTCGGGAATGGGTCTGGGTGGATAGTGGGTCGTGTCAAAGCACTTTAGCTTGACATCGCTCACTATCAGCCTTAACGCGGAGGCTCATACCTTCCTTTTCCCACCGCGGTCAAGAATGAGAAGGCAATCGTCAAAGTGAAAAGCAAAGACGACGACTGCCTCCGCTGGTCTCTAAGGGCTGCGCTATTTCCTACAGCTAAAGACCCGAAATGGCTGGGGAAGTATCCCACTGAAGACGGCCTTGACTTCGCGAGAGTGAGCGCACCCACACCACTCTCCTAGCTCGAACGAGTAGAGCGTGAGAACGACCTTGCTATCAACGTGTACGGGTGGGAAGGCGGCGTCGTTCCTTGCCGTTTTAACAAAATAGAGAGAGCTCGCAAACTGTGAATCTCTTTCTCGTCTCGGATTCGAAAAATCCTGAGAAACACCATTACACTTGGATCAAGAACTTTAACCGCCTTCTCAACCAGAGTGGCCACCATCAGCTACACTTCTCTGAGCGTTCTTCACGGCTTCACCTGGCAGGATTTGTTGGAAGCTTGAATGTCGAGGCATCAACCAGGCCGTGGTTGCCATCAGAATGCCAACCCCCGGAACAAATGACAAAATCCGCTTTGAGAACTACCACAAGCAGCTCAAAGCGCCCTTCATAATCTACGCAGACTTCGAGAGCCTGGTTTGTAAGACCGAGGGCACCGCGCTTAACCCCGAAAAGAGCGGCACCCAGCAAACTTCTAGAAACGAGACATGCGGCTACTCATTCATAGTCGTTCGTTCGGGTTAGGAAACTCAGCCGCCGCAGCTCTACCAAGGGCCCGACGAGGCCAAGCATTTCGTGCAAGCGCTCCAAGAAGAAGTGCGCAAGATAAAGTTGGTGTTGGCTAACCCCGAGCTTATGCACATGACAGGAAAGGACTGGGGGAGTCACAAGAAAGCCACAAATTGTCACGTCTGCTGCAAGCCCCTCGAAGGTAATTACGTGCAAGACCACTGCCACATAACTGGCAATACCGAGGTGCGGCCCACAATGAGTGCAACCTAAAGTTGCGGCTTAGCCCGAAGACGAAAACCATACAGGTTGTCTTTCACAACCTGCAGGGCTACGACAGCCATTTCATCATGCCATAGATATAGTAGGACTAGATTGCTGACGAGCCGCCATATTGCGTGACATCCATGATAAATCCAAGATGGCGTGGGAACCGGGCAAAAAACATGGAGTCACTATAGGGCAATTGATGTTTTTCGCAATTTACTTCTTCTCATTGTTTTCAAACTCTTCCGATGAAGTTTTATGGAAACAAATCTTTATTTCAAATGTTTTGAAACCATATTGGACAGTTATAATTGAAATACGGGTGAAAATATCGCTTTCGAAATATTGTGTAAATTGGTCGTTTGGTTGTCTCAAGTCGTTTGTCCACTAAGAGAAACAGATTTTTTCAGCTTTAACTCCCATACTGATTTGTTGCGCATCGGAATATGTCATATTGACAATTTACAGAAAGATTGGGCAATCAATTTGAATATTTCTGTGAAAAAAGCGACTTATTCGAGAAAGCACTCCCACTGTACTCGTACTGATATGTGAGATATGTGAGAATCAAACACGGTTTAGAAAGGCCATCCGACTTTGAATGAATGAAAAGAGGAGCAAGGAGATACATAACATTTGTTCAGTCATGCTCATAAACCACAAAAACGTGTTAAGGAAATAGTATGTGCGTAGTTTGGTTTATCAATGTATCCGTTCCCACATGGCTAACAGCCAAGGAACAGTTATTGACTTTAGTTAAATTTCCTTATGTACCATATATAGCTTAAATTGAGGAACTACTCCGACCAATAAAAATATTTTTTATTTGTAATAAAGAGTATAAATTTTGTTCTGTAAAATAATAAAAAATCTGCTCGATCATTAAGTTCACTCGTCGTTGTTACTGAAGGTATAAAGTATACTAAGAAAGAGATATGGCGAGTAACTCGAACTCAACATTGTTTTTTACCTTAATGTGAGAGCGAAATAATATTTGGCTATTTCAAATCAAGGATAATGCCGGAATCGTGCGCGGCTTATAACTGTACAAACAGACGAGGGAAGAAAAAGAAGGACAGAGAAGAGGGATGAAATCAATTGGAAGTATATCTCAGAGCTGCATAATGTACAAACTAGAGATGTTTTGCATCTTGGCAATAAACTGAAAACCAAGCACATCTAATGGCATAGTCAAAAAATGAATGTGGCAATTGCAGCACAAACCTTAAGTCATTCAGTTGCAGCTGGTTTAATGTACCTTCAACAGCTCAAGTTAAAGCAGTTTGAAAACAGTGAAGCAGCAACTGAATTCCTTCTGAAAATAAACAACATATTTGAT